TTAGTTTTGAACCCCCTTTTACATGGAGATCTTATGTTAGAAATTGTACAATACATTCATGTGGAATAGATCTTCATGTGTGCTTTTTGGATGTTTTCGTCTTTATTTTTGAGTCAAATTGGCACAGTCCCAGAAAGGTCTGTATCTGTACTCTATATTTTTAGATTGTGGCACGAAGGAAAGCAAGATTAAACGACCTAATTTAACTGAAAAGCATATGTCAAGGGAGAAGATTAAAACTATGCTTTTGGGTGATTATTTATATATATCAGCCTTCTGGAACTGATCATTCGTTTATACCACCGCTTATCATGCACTCAAAAAGGGAAAGATAAAGAGAATTTGGTAAATGTTAAGTATGTATCAACCTGTGAAATAATACATCAAGATATTCTGCCAGAGGTAAATGAAAGACAAATTTTTGTTCTTGCAGATCATAAATCATGCAGTTGTGAGATGGATATGTTTTGTTTCTGTGGGAGAAAGTGCGAAGAGGTATTAAAGTTCCCATTTTTATGGATCTTGATGTGTGAAATGATGAATATGAGGATTTTACATTCAAATTCTACAAAATCTCCATTTATCTTACATATTAACTTATTATTTTTTTTTTTTATAAATTTACTTTTTAGATCAAATATTACCCGGTTAAACTGTAGTGTCTTCTTGACAACTGTTTTGGAGAGGGGCGATGAAATATATATGTCCTGCATCAATCAGGTAGTGCTTTCACTATTAGGGGGAAAATATGAAAAAAGACGTAAATGCCCTCTGTTGTTATTGGACGTTGCGACCTTATATTTAAGGGTATTTCTTAGGATCCATAGAACCCAACTAGATGAGATGCCTTTTATTCGGATCCGCGATATATACAGACGCCAAGGGATGCGTCGTCGGCTATTACATGCTATTAAATCAGTAAACATTTTTTTGCGATAAATTCAAGAAATAACAACTTACTTTCGTTTGTTTGTTTATTATTATAGCCTCTTACTTTCATTCTTTCTATTACATCAGTGTACTTTCATTATTTTTCTTATCAACACATTGTACTTTTAAAAATATAGATTATATCTTTGTACATTTTTTTCTCATAAGATAATCTACTCAATTAAGGCACTGAAAAAGTTAAATGAAAACTCCGAGAAAAAAATAAAAATAAAAAAATGTTATAACTAGATACACTTTCCATGCTCTAATGCTTAATAACAAAACATAGAAAGTACAATGACTGAATAGAAAGATACACAAGTAGAATACTATAACAGAAATAAATAAAAATACAATAACAAAGCTTACTGTTCCATAAAAACTTGATTATTTTATAAGAATAGGTAGAAGCTTTAAATTTTTGTTTCTCTTTGTAATTATTCCATATAAGCTGTACACTTACACAAATAAATGTAAATACAATCACCTTTTTTCCTCTTTCTCTTCTTATACATTCTATAACTTCAAACTCCAATTTTTTTTGTCCCTATTTTTAGATATTCAAGCTTCCACAAATATTGATGTTGTTTTTCTTTTGTTTGATGCTTTTTATTACAGTGAAGAAGAAGACAGAATAAAACATCATTTATTTTCTTTATATAGCTGAAATTTTTTTAGCCATAAAATTGTCTTGTCATTCTTTAATGTGAAGCTATTTTTTAATCGATACTACGATATGACAAAAAGGAGGTGAACATCAGCATTTTTTCACATATATTAGGTAAAAGCCTATGATTTTTATTCTACTATGTGGAAGGGTATTCCTGGTACGTGGCTACAAGTTTGTGTTTTGATTCTGCAAGATTTTATTTTGTAGGCAATAGGCTGCAAATATAGATTCTAAAAGATTGAGATGGAGCAAGATGCAAGTTAAGTCTTCTTCAAAGCTCAGTTTTTCTCTATGGATAAGTGGCTACAGGCTTGTGGTTTTCATGCTATATCTTCCGGGTAATTACATGTTCATTTAGCCTCATTTTTATTCTTTCAAGTGTACAAAAGTTCTTTCAAATGGAAGTATTATCTGTAGTACCCTGTTATTTTCAGATTCCCACCATCAAAATTATTTTCTAGGTCTCAACTATGTTTATTGCTCGAATAACTTTTAACAATGAACACAATAAAGTGTTGATAGAGGGGTACTACAGATAATACTATATCCATAGAGAAACATAAATCAAATAATGGCCACGAAGGTATGTAAATTTTACTGGGAAATAGATAGAAAAGTTGGGTTGGTTTTCACCAACTTGTAATTAGTTATGTTACAAACTTAAATGCAGCATCTGATATGTTACCAAAACTCAAACATGGACAAATGACAAAGAATTATCCTTTCAAAGCATACAACTATATTTATTTAGATTTGGGAAGTTCATAATTTAAGAAGAGACCAAAAGGGTCAAAATGGCAGATTTGATGTAAAATACCAAAACTCTCAAAATTGACCAGAAGGGTTAAATGACTAAAACTTTTGTTTCTGGAGCATATAAACACATTTATTTACATTTGGAAAGCTTTTTAAGAAGTTCATAGATTAAAAAGGAGGCCAAATGGGTTAAAATGACAGGTTTGCTCTAAAAGACCAAAACTGTGAAAATTAAGTACAATTGTAAAATGATCAAAACCACTATTTTTCAAGAACGGAGCGTAGGAGTGTAGTTTGACTTCTATTTAAAATTTAATGATGCTTTTATGAAAGCCATAACTGTTTAACTTCAACAAACCAGTTTGATCCTGAAGGTTTGTTTGTTTTTTTGGAACCATTCATGTAACAATTTTTGAGCATTTTCATGTTTCTTCCAATCTTTCTTCTTTTCTTTTCTCTTTTTCTTAAAAAGAGCTGCTTTCTTTTAACCATCACTTACACAGTAAATTACATGTACAAAACATATCATAATGCTATAATTTGGTAGATATTCTGAATTTGAAAGTACAATTTTGTAATATAATTGAATGGAAGTAATACAAAAATAAGTTGAAGTACATTGCTATATTTGCATTTACCTTACTCTCTCTCTCTCTCTCTCTCTCTCTCTCTCTCTCTCCAGGTGGCAGAATCAGTGAATCTTCTTTTTTCCAAAAAAAATAATAAGATAGTTTTATTAATTTAGTGATATGGAAGTTGGTATCTGCTTAAGAAAGGTAGTTGGTTATTACAATGCCAGAACAGTTGAATTCATTATTCATACCCTCTCTATTACTTTTATTAATTTGTTTAATAAATGGTGGTTGCTGCTGTTACACCTGCTGTTTATCTTGCAATAGAACATATTTGATTATTATGCATTTGTAAATGGGCGAATGTACTATACTTTCACGAAAAAGTTGCACCTTCTGATCCCCGCAACGCGGGGAAACCTTTCTAGTTATTATATATATAATATATATATATCTATATATAATATATATATATTATATATATATATATCTATATATTAAAAATGTCTAAAGTTAGGAACAGTAAAGTTCCTAACCTTTGGCAGATTTGGTCCACAGCTTTTCAATTTCAATGGTTAAGATTTTTTGCCACTAGAGTTTGTCCTAATGACAGTTTGGTCCCTTAAATTATCTAATAATATTAAGCCGATCTCTCTACCACTAACGTGGAGTTTGCCTGTTGCCCACCGATTTTGTAACCAATCATATTAGGATCGGTGTCCCCTTCTTCCAAACCGCTTCCAGTTCCTTCTACCGCTGCCTTTTTCCTGTCGGTCGTCATCACTCCCTTTTTCTCTCTCTCTCTCTCTCTCTCTCTCCTCTCTCACTTACCCATCCTTCTACCATCGCTCACTTTATCTTCCCTCGCCGTTCCATTGTCCTCTATTGTCTTTCTTTTATCTCTGCTGCTCCTCGAAAAAACGCTCTTTCTTTCTCCTTCGCCTCTGTCACCATCAGAACTCACCGCCTGTGTTGCATATGTCGGCCTTAGCTAATACCGGTAGACCAACATCATGTCTCGTATTTCTCGAAAAAGTGATTCGATTGATGGGATTTGGTATGTTACTTATGAGATCGATGATATCGATGAGATTTATATTCAAATATTTCTTCTTAGAGCGTATTGATTTGACCCTATAAGCGGGACCACCACCCAATAGCATGTTGCCACCTAGAGAATCTCCTAATTGTTTCAGAGCAACTAGAAAAAGATTCTTTAACCAGAAAGAATTCGGTTCAGATAGATATAGGATACCTATCCAGAAGTTTTCGCAACTCAATCATAGATGATGGAATCATCAAAGATTTGACATTTTCGAACTCTGTCTGTAACTCACTGTTTTTGTTTTTGGGAAAGGTTCTCACACAATCGCCCCGATGCACTGAACCACCAATAGTCTGACGTCAGACAACTTTCATCTAACTAAGTTACATTGATCTCTCATCCACCACCTCACCGATCCGCTCAATCCATAAAACTTTCAATTGCTGTGAATGTCAGAACAAACCCTCTCAATCCACAAAAGGTAACAACATCATTTGCGTTTGATCAATTATCGAAAATTTTGGGGGTTTGTTGACATAAATCACCATCTGATGAGTCCGTTGCTTTATTCAGATTTTTTTTGCTTATTTGATTATCGATTTTGTATGCCTCGTCGTTTCCGATTAAGTCGTTGTGCTCGCGATTCCTCTTGGAATCTTCGGTCTCTCTGCCTCTCCTTTCATCTCCTCGGTCCCCTCTACCCCACTGTAGAAATCGCGTTTCAACCTAAAAAGCCCTAAACTCTTTTGAATTTAACAGTGGGAGGGGCGCTGCCATGGCTTTGGATGAACCTTCGATTTTCTTGACCCGCAAACTTCAGAACACATGAAATCGAAGTTGTATTATACGGTGGATTAGCCCCTGTTTCTTTCTACTTTAAACCTGAATCCACTGGTAAGTACCTTTTATATCCATTCCATTCGTTGATTATGTGTAGAAATTGATTCCAAAATTGGATTTTGTTCTGCAGGTTAAATGAATAAAAAAATTTATTAGAGGAACAAAAAACAAAAGAATATGAACTTCTATGGTTTTCCTGGTTCTCTTCCACTTTCTATCTGGTTTCATTTTCATTTTTTTTTGTAAATATGAATTGACAGCAACGGTTTGGTGTATTTGTCAATTCTTAAAAGCTTGAGGAGAGGATTTTGTAGATTTATCAAGAGTCACGGGAGTTTTCTGTTTGCTTCGACTTATTCTTGAATTTTAGTTTTTTTTCCCAGGTATTTCAAATTTGAATATTTTCCCGCTTTCTTATCAAGTTGGTAAATAATTGATATTGGTTCAGGTATCCATTGCAACATCAGCCAACATATGGACAAGAATCACAAGAAAGTTCATTATCTAACTGATAGCCATGAACAGGAATACCATAAGGAAAAGGAATGTTATTTTGAGGTATTTTCTCTTTCACTTTTCGTTTTTTCAAAATCTTAATAAAAGGCCGACTTAATAAAGTAAGATATATATATGAGTATTCCTTTTGCCTTAATACATAAACAACAAATTAATAGAAAAAGTCAGAGAATGAGAACATAATCAAAGTATGTACATACCCATCTTTCTCAAAGAGAGTTATGACAACTTTTGGATTCAAATGGTTGCAAACAGGTGACAAATGTATACTTTTTCCCCATAATAAGCCAAATTGCCATTCAAAGCAACTTTACTCCACCATTGGATAGGTTTTTCAGAAAATTTGATTTTCTGCATAGTTTCTACAAAAATAACAAAACCTTAGAGCATTGTACTTTCAAAAAAAGATTCCTATTTTCTGCATATTTCCATAACTGAAACCTTTTCAGTTTTAGCCTTTATTTCAAGGTTCTAGGTCCAAAATTGATATTAACGGTATATTCATTAAAGCCATAGGTTAACATTTGTTTATTTGGGTATTTAGTAGTAAAATCTTTTTTATTATTGTTATTGAGATTGTATTCAGAATGAGGTATCATCACAAGAAGAGAAACCTGGAACTAAATTAATCATGGCAGAGGTCAATGAAGTAGATGAAAAAGATGCATCTTTTGAGGGAAACAACAATGCAGCATTGACCATTGACACAGGTCAAATTCTCATTTTTATGTTAAATCTGTTTCTTTTCTGAACTGAGTAAAACATTTGAATAGGACTAAAGTACCCTCATTTCCTTAAAATCTTTAATGTGACTTTTGAGGTTGGACAAAACTGCCATCACTCTGCACATGAATTTAACATCCAATGTTTCGAAAACGCCCCTCATTCAGGACCTTCATTTGATGCCCCTGTAAATCTCCCTGCTTGTAGGCGTAAGCCCTGTTATGGATAGATCAGTGATGATGATTGATTTTGGTATTTTAGTTATTAACTTTCACAACCCTTTTGTTAATTTTGTACAAATGACCATTTTGCCCTTCTGTTTTCATTCTTGCGATATGTGATTTTTACTTGGTGTAGTCCAAAAGTGAATTGTTTTGCCATTTTTTCTTTATTGGAAGGTTTCATATCAGTTTTCGTCCCCATGTCTTTAAGTTTGACAGTTTGTGAAATGCGCAAATTGCCCTTTGCTTTGGAGGTGAATTCTTGGGTTGCTATGATCACCATTTGCATATTTTTGCCAACTCTTTGACTTTCTTGTATTTGATGTGTCAGGGAGGATTTGATATGATCCATAGTTCCCAGAGAAGATTGAAACTCCAGGACAATTTTGTGTTTATTTTGTGGGCTGCATACTTTGTTTCACATCTATTATATAAGGATATAATGTGCAGACTACTAATATGCTATATACTTTGGTCAATATCATTTTTTGGTTATGGCCTTTGTAAAAGTTTGAGTTTTGTGTTATTGGATTAAATGAAAAGGTATATGTGCATTTCTTATATTGGTAAGTGTTCTTCTATACACCAAGGCTGAAAATCCATTTGTAATTTGTATTTGTAATCCAATGATTTACTGCTACTTCAATAACATGGTTAGTCTTTTATTCATATTTTTTGTGTTATTTCATATTCCATTTATGTTTTGATGATGTTAATTGGTTATGTGTATGATAATGAATCAGGGCTATCAACAGCAGCCATAGAGCCAGTACCAGAGGACTGGACTGTGTGTCAACTATAGAAGATAGAGAGCTTGAAGATAAAGAAAAATGATGGAAACTGGGGTTGAAGGTTATTTCATATGGGAAGTTAGCTAGATTCCTTTTATCTGGTGGAGTCGAACGATCATAACAATGACGACATACCGTATGCGTTCACTGTAAGTCTACCTCCACCGCACGTTGAGGTTCAGGCTATTGGTTTCCATTGTTATTTCCTAATTCGCTTCGTGTCCTCACCATGACGTTCTATACACGAAAGCAGACGTTCAGTGTACCGAAACTAGATTATATATAGGGAAGGTTTTATCTATGAACAATACTAAAAATGGGTAGTTGTCTATATTTTTTTTTTTTAATTTTTTTATTCATTTTTTAATTTTTTTGGTTCATTTTTTTGGTTTACAAATATATCATGAATTAAAAATACAAAACATAACTATATACAAGCTACAACTAACAAAACTAACTAAAAAAATATAAAAGCACAAAAGCTAAGTGAAAATTAAACTGAGATCAAATGGGAAAATATGTCTATATCATGAAGTAGGATGACATGAAATGTAATAGCTAGACATAAAAGATCTCAAAATAGCAAGTTCTAGTTCTAATTTCCATATTTGGAAGATCGGTATGCTTAATAAGTAATACGCTTGTGGGGGACGCTTTCTAAGACTTTAGGGCTGACTTGTCCCACACGTCATGTCATACTTGCAATAAGTCGATTCATTTGCATAAATAGCTTGTACTATATCCTATTGTTGCCACCAAATGATAAAATATACATTAAGGTGTTATTTGATTTTTCGAAACGAGAACGGCTGAAGTCTGCGAACCATATTTTGTAACCTCTGCAGTAGAAAATGTGGATCAAACGGCTGCTACTTGTAACAAGAAGTTTATTTCTTTTTAACCTCTGCAGACTGCTGCAATAAACTGAAATTAACTATACAATAGTTAAAAATAAATCTAAGTATAAAAATTTATTTAGTTTAATCATATGCAAATCAAATATAAAGTTCATTGTGATGATATGATTTTTAAAAAAGTTTATATAAAAGAATTAAATTAAATATTTGCTAAATAACAATAAATAAAATTGTTAATTTAGTTAAAAACATGTTCATTTTTGTTAATATTTTGGAGACGATGATTATTTTTCCGATAAACTTCAATAAATTTAGTATTTTTAATGATTAACTTTATAATTTATTAATATTTGGTTATAGACAATATAACACAAAAAACATTTATATAAAATTTACAAAATGGTTTTGAAATTATTTGACATTATGTAAAATATACTCAAATTGTTTACATATTCTTCAAATATTATTAAAATAATAAATATGTTGAAAAAAATTTAAAACAAATCTAAGTTGAATAATATAACTTAAAGTAGCTGATAAATGGTTTGAAGAGGATGGTCCGGTTATGCGTCACGCAGCACACGCGCAACAGTTTTTAAGTTAGTAGTCTTCTAAAAAACAAACAACCGTAGAAGGTCAAGTGTTGCGCGGCGTAGCAAAAACTGGTCAGAAGTAAAAAAAAAACAACATCTAAATTTATGTTATAACTTTTTTTGCTACATTAAGTCATCATTGCATCTTTTTCTGTTAGAAATAAATTACTGTGATTAAAAAAAACAAAAACGTCATTGAATTTGTTTATCTGATAAAACTACATTTTAGTTATTACAAAAGAAAAAACAAGTTTTGACGATTATTACTCTATATCACTACACCAAATTCCATTACTCAATACCATTTATTCCTATTAATTTTATTTTATATATTTTGTAAAAGGTTCCTTATATACACAATTGTTTTTTTTTAAACGGAATAGCTAAATACCATAGTTAAAGAGGCAATGACTTGGTTTATTGTACTTTGATGGATACAAATACAACTTCTAACATAAAAACTATAATAAATGTTATATATATACCACTCACAAAAATTATAATTTTATTTTTTATTTTTTAACCTACTCCTAAATTAAGTAATTCCATTTATGGCTTAAACGGAAGAGGCAATGACTTGGTTCTGCAAAGTTGGAGATGTCGTGGATTACGCAAGCCCGGAGGTGGGTTCTTACGCCCACGAGAGAATTCTTCTCGCAGATTCAGTTCTCGATAGGTCCAGAATCGACCCCGACGATCCAGATTCCGAATCCATTGAAACGATCAGAGGCGAAATCGAGATCAGTATCTATACATCGACTCATAGTCTCAGCCGCTTTAGTGGCACTGGAAGCAACATCATTGAGCCTGAATTCATAAATCATGGCAAGTTTCTTACTTTTCTGGATTTATTATACTAAAAAGACATTGTTAAGTGTTGTTTTCATTTCGACTCAGTGAACCTAATGGGTACAATGCAATGTCTTTCATAGTTTCACTCATCATAACGTATGATATAGTTATTGATATTTTCTCACAAATCTTTAAAAAAACAGGAATTATTAAAACAATCTACCAAACATTTTCTCCATTATTTTTAGTATACAGGTCCTGATTGTAATTCGTTATGCCATTTCTGAAAACAGGACTACTTCGGTGGACTCAATTCAGACTTCAATGGGTTGACCATAAAATTTCAAAGAACAGAACAAAAGCTCAAGAACCCGTTTTAAGGTTTTAAATTCATATTTCAATGGTTTTTCTTTCATTTTCTCATATATATTTTAAACATTATTTATCGATTTTGTTGTTAAAGAAGGAAGGTGACATACAATATGTTACAGGAGGCCAGCTGTATCCTGCCCAGGCGATTTTTTACTTGCATTTGGTATTTGACAATTACATAAATTTGTTGCTGGCTTAATATCTTTCTTGTTATTTCAGATCCTGTTTGGCTTTCTGTACATTGTGAATCTTGGAATAATCTTATTCATTTATGTAGATGATTCAATGGATGATATTGGTGAGATTCCAATTCTATTGAAATGGAATGACGGATTCCAATTCTGTTGGAATGGAATGACGGATTCCAATTCTGTTGGAATCACAGAAGTTGATGCTTGAAGAACGAACCACATTATTCTTTTAGAATGTATTAGTCGTTGTTAGATTTTGATGTTTTCTTCTCCGTTTTGATTGTTTTTTTAGTTTTTATTCTTTAACAATTAATGTAATTCTTAACAATTGTTACCCGTATTCTATAAGAAATAATGTATTTTTTTGTTTTTATTCTTCAATTGATTGTTCAAGATTTTGTTATTCTACAACAAGTTGTTATTCTTCAAGAAGTTTTTAAAGTCATCATCAAGAAATAGGTTCAAGAATATTTTTATTATTTATGGCTCAAGAATATTTTTATTTTTGAATATACTCATAAACATATTCTGTCAGAATGTCCGAATTAAAAGAATTATAATTCGTAAAATCGGATTTTTAAAATTAATAGAATCTATGATCCCTTAAAAAATGCAATTTTCCTTCATTAAATCTATATTAATCGACTAAATTACCCTTGTAATTAATTAAGATGATTTTTTCAATTATATTTAATTCAATAATCTATATTAATCACTTTCTTAAAATAAGTAAATTTGATTGGCCCACATTTATGCATACAATAACACAATAATTACTTTACACAAAATAACCTAAGCCTATATATATATATATATATATATATATATATATATATATATATATATATATATGGTTAGGTTCATGTGAGACAAATGAATTTTGTGAGACAAAGGGGCCAAATCTTGATCACTCATCTCAAATAATTAGTGGCTAGGAATAAAACATAAAAACACTATAAAAAGGCTGATGTAGGCGGTGACAATTTTGAAAATACGTCAAAGTTTGTGATTAACTATGGACCAGGAGGGATAGCTTTGTCATTTTGCACTCAAATCATATGAGAGCTGATTCTTTTCTTCCCAGTCGTGATTTGCTTCTTCTTTCTCCCCTAAACTTTTCTTGATCTGGATTTTTCTCAAAACGTAATTCGATAGAAATATGAAATCTCCCCAAATCTTCTCAATCTTATTCCACAAAACCCTAGAAATCTGCCCCATCAACGAGAACTCGCAACAAAAAACCCAAGTTTTGGTTCTGTATCAATTCAACAAAAATCCATAGTCGCATCCCTAAATGACGAGATTTATTTCTTCAATACATCGATTTATTCAGATCAAACATCAATTGTGGTTGTTTCAAACACAAAACCTCTCCAAATGGAAAAATTACCTCTATCACAGGTTTTCTGATTTTAGATTTTGATAAATTAGATCTTATCTTCTCTGAATATCTTAATAGTATATGAAATGACTCTTCGGTTAATAGTTTGTTTAACTTTTTATGTTAATTTGTTGATTAATCACATAATCTAACACTACATTAACAAACTAGGGTTTGATAGATTATTTTTATGTTTTGATGAAATTATGGTTTTTAGTTTAAGATACTCTGTAATGGAATCTATTGGTTTTATGCTTCTGACTATAATACGTTTTGAGAATCTGAGGATTTGTTATTCTATTTTGACATGATCGAATTCATCTCTGTATTTTTAGTCCGACAATATCACATTTAGATTCATATTCTAGATAATATAGATTATAAATTGTCTCTTGTAATAGGCTTCAGGAAGTTCTTATTTTGTTTATTCTAAATTGTGAATTATTTTTCTGAAAATGTTTATTGTAGCTATGATTTGTATTTGATCCAGATTCACTATAGCTTGAGTTAGGAATGAACTTGTTTATTGTAGTTTCGGTTAAATGTTTTTTGAAATTGTTTACTGTAGCAATTATTAGTGTTTAATACCCATTTAAAGCTGAAACTGTTTGTTCAGGTTGGTAGTGGTTGTTAACCTAAGGTCTGATTAGGTCTATTCTTTTGTATTTTATATAATATTAAATCTTTTGTCTGAATTATATTAGATATAACTAATCGAAGTTAAGTAAATGTGTGCCTGATAACCTGATATTATACATATTCTTAGTTGATAAGTTAGATCTTGATTTTTTTTGTATAAATGTTATTTTGTTAGAAACTACTTTCTTTAAACCTTTTATGATGAGTTAATGTGAAATATTCTGAAATTACGTGTCATATTACGCTTTTAGACATTATGATTTTGTTGGAAACAACTTGCTTTGAACCTTTTTGTTGAATAATGTGTAATATCTTATTTTACAGATTCTTCTTTTGTTGGAAACAACTTTGCTTTGAACCTTTTTGTAAAGTATTGTGATAGTACTTGATTAACAATGAAGGAATGTGATATATTCTGGAATTATGTGTCATATTCTGATGTAAAATATGTAATATTCTAAGTATTATGATTAGTAAAATTTGAGTTCTAATGATATTTTGTTGATTAATTAGATAATGC